AAAATGTAATGGTTTCAATAATTTATTTATCTACTATTGCCAAGGAGACCAGCTCACAACCGTTGGTCGCAACAGGAACATAAAGAAAGTTATAAGTGAAGGGTGCACTCATTTGCTGACTCTCATTTCTGGTCTGAAGTTTGTGTTCAACATTCGTAAAGCGTCAGTGAACAAAAGAATACATTTCCACGTCCAGTTTCAACACATGTCATTTATTTATTCCTTTACTGGATCAAAGTTGCAGACATCCACATACAAAACAAAACTGTGCCTGCTCAGTTCATGGAAACTCTTACTACTATTGATATTTATTCAATTTATTTATTTCACTAGCAGTTTACCCAACTTTTGGTTATACAGTCTACTGAACTCCACTTCGGCTATCTAGAGCTGCTGCTGTGCGCGGTAATCCACTTTCTGCTGTCGAGGTCCACCACGCACAACCTCCAAAATCCCTGTTAAACTAGACTTTATTATCTAGGTTACTGTACCAGTTACTTTGCAAATTTAGTGAAAAATCTATTTTGTAGAACAAACTGATGTTTTTGTTTTACATCAGTTTAAAATAAAGGCTGTTTCACTTATATGGTAAAAGAATGGTGGGGATTCTAGATCTGTTACTGTTTGTAGGTTTGCTTACATTCATTTTCTATTGGGTTAACTTATTTATTTAATCTGTTTCATCTGGAGTCCATTAGTGGAAAAAGAAACAAGTTAACTCATACTGGCTGTTTCTCTTCACCTTGGCAATTAAGATTTCCTTCAAAGATTAGTCTTGCATTGACATTTCAAACATTCAAAGTTCCAACATCCTAGATTGGAACATCTGCTGCTAATTTATTATTATTGAAGTATTGAAAATGTAAGAATATTTACATGGAATGAATAATGAAAAAATGTCAGAGAATCAAGCAGAATATACAGTAGAATAACTACAATGATGTAATTAATATGGCAGCCTCAAGTGGAAAGAAACATACTTTACCCTTCAGTTCTGTCCACTTTACAAACCTGACGGGGTACAAAGAGCAGTTAACACAATTAAAAGTGACATTTTCTTTCTACTTCCTGGAGGAGAAGTGTGGATTACTGAGGTGTGAGACATGCTTAAAAACAAAAGTCTATGTTTAATGAAAACACCAAAGTACCAAAACCTAACATGTTGGAATGGTACCAATTAAAATAATAAATCCTAACCTTATAGCTCCCCTTTTGTAAGTCTCTTTCTACCCAGTTTACTTTACGTGGACGTGCCCCTGGGCAGGTGGTGCTGAATCTGAAAGTCACAATATAGACTATAAAATAGTCACACAAACACATGACATACAATCCTAAAATTAGTCCCCACTCCACCTGCAGCTTCCAAACAAAACTGTAAAGACAGCTATCAAATAATAAAGTCCAGTAAATGTGGAAAATATGACTTTTTGATAGCAGGCAACGTTTCACATTCAGAAATTGAGCCGATTAAGAGTCATTAAAGCCATTTTTTTCATACTGTGGAAAGCCATTCATGCATGTGCTGTGATTAGAGCTGTGGGGCACAAGCAGGCATCACCTGGCTTCTGTGCAGTAAAAAGGAATAACTTTAGAATAAGAACAGTGGTTGGCTATAGATGCAAATTTCATCATTCATAAAATCGACAAGAATGAGCTTCACTTCATTTTAGTTAACAATTGACTCTCAAGTTCTTGCAGAAAGATAATGTGGACCTGTTTCCAATGCAAATAATCTTTAGTCCAGGGGTCCCTAAAATCAAATTAATGACCACGTATTTTAGTGAACTACAATTTGGTCCTAGCGCAGATACAAAGGTGTCATTTCCACAAGAGATTTTCATCAAAATCTTGAATCATGCTGATTTGTTTTTAAGAGAATACAAATAAAACATAGGACCACTATATTCAAAAGAAGGTTAATACTTCCATCTAAGGTGATACTGTATATATTTGGTAAAATTTTGGGAGTTTTAGCAAAATCCAGCAAATATTAGAGGAGGCATCAGTGACAACAGGTATGGCGTTTAAGTCAGAAAATGCACAGCAACATGGCCGGTGTAGAGATGCCTTGCAAATTAGTTTGCAGATTTGCAGCAACTGTAGGCAGAGCAAATCTGCCTCTAGACGTGACGTCCTAGCCTGACCAAACTGACACCATGCTTGAATTACTGCACGGGCAAATTCTGCACTTTTCTTTTTGTTTTTAATGAGTGTTTAGAATTTACTTGACTTGATAATTATGGTAGTTGTGGTCATTTCATGGCTTTTTTCCAGGTGTTGCATTGTGAACTTACTAGAAAAAGAGGGTTTTCATTTATTTAACCCAAAAAGTTATATTTACAAAACAATAAATGTTGAGCTCATAAAAGAGGTCAAAGAAACAAAACGAAACTGTGAACTTGACAAACCAAACATAACAGACCTAAACAGGAAATGACACACAAGGCAGGTCAGACCACTATGACGCAACAGGGGGTAACTAAACAAAACACAGATGTAAACAACAAAAACGATGCAGTACAGTCCAGTTTGTCAATAAATTAAACACCAAAGAAGAAAATCAAAACCACTAAACCCTAAAGACAAATATTGAATCCAATACAAAAGCTTTTTTTTTTAAATCAAAGAAAATACACATTCTCCCCCTTCAGCAGGAAGTGGTGGTGCGGTCCAATCATCCATGTATTTAAGTGCTTTAAACCCTGGCAGCCATCGTTTGTCTGGCAGCTCTCAGGGATCATTGCAGGTAAGAGAAACAATGATTAGTCACAATCACAAAGCAAAAAAGAAATGAATTGGTATAAATACATATGGAAACTAAATAGATGCGCTTACAAATAGC